AACCTGAGAGTACATACGTTGTACTCCAACCTGAGAGTATATACGTTGTACTCCAACTTGAGAGTACATCGTTGTACTCCAACCGAGAGTACAACGTTGTTACTCCAACCTGAGATACATACGTTGTACTCCAACCTGAGAATACATACGTTGTACTCCAACCTGAGAGTACATACGTTGTACTCCAACCTGAGAGTACATACGTTGTACTCCAACCTGAGAATACATACGTTGTACTCCAACCTGAGAGTACATACGTTGTACTCTAACCTAAGAGGGCATACATTGTACTCTAACCTAAGAGGGCATACGTTGTACTCTAACCTGAGAGCACATACGTTGTACTCTAACCTGAGAATACATACGTTGTACTCTAACCTGAGTACATATGTTGTACTCTAACCTAAGAGGGCATACGTTGTACTCTAACCTGAGAGCACATACGTTGTACTCTAACCTGAGAGCACATACGTTGTACTCTAACCTGAGAATACATACGTTGTACTTTAACCTGAGAGTACATACGTTGCACTCTAACCTAAGAGGGCATACATTGTACTCTAACCTGAGATATGGGGTGCACAATAAACTAGCAACTTCGGTGGCAAAATCTAAAAATCTAAAATCGCCACCACAACAACCAGCACTGTCAACACAACAACCAGTAATGTGTGAACACCACCACAATAACCAGCATTGAGTCACCACCACCACCACAACAACCAGCACTGTGTCAACACCACCACCACAACAACCAGCACTGTGTCAACACCACCACCACAACAACCAGCACTGTGTCAACACCACAACAACCAGCACTGTCACCACCACAACAACCAGCACTGTGTCACCACCACAACAACCAGCACTGTGTCACCACCACAACAACCAGCACTGTGTCAACACTACCACAACAACCAGCACTGTGTCAATACCATCACAACAACCAGCACTGTGGGCCACCACCCAACCCAAACCCGCACTGTATCAACACCCAAACCCCAACAACCAGCACGTGTCAATATCATCACAACAACCGCACTGTATCAACACAAACCCCAACAACCAGCACTGTGTCAATACCATCACAACAACCAGCACTGTATCAACACTACCACAACAACCAGCACTGTATCAACACAACCACAACAACCAGCATTGTGTCAATACCATCACAACAACCAGCACTGTGTCACCACCACAACAACCAGCACTGTATCAACACAACCACAACAACCAGCACTGTGTCAATACCATCACAACAACCAGCACTGTATCAACACAACCACAACAACCAGCACTGTGTCAATACCATCACAACAACCAGCACTGTATCAACACAACCACAACAACCAGCACTGTGTCAATACCATCACAACAACCAGCACTGTATCAACACTACCACAACAACCAGCACTGTATCAACACAACCACAACAACCAGCACTGTCACCACCACAACAACCAGCACTGTATCAACACTACCACAACAACCAGCACTGTATCAACACAACCACAACAACCAGCACTGTGTCAATACCATCACAACAACCAGCACTGTGCCAACACCACCACCACAACCAGCACTGTGTCAACACCATCACAACAACCAGCATTGTGTCAACACCATCACAACAACCAGCATTGTGTCAACACTACCACAACAACCAGCACTGTGTCAACACTACCATAACAACCAGCACTGTGTCAACACTACCATAACAACCAGCACTGTCAACACCACCACCACAACGAGAACTGTGTCACCACAAGAACGAGAACTGTGTCAACACCACCACCACAACCAGCACAGTCAACACCACCACCACAACCAGCACTGTGCCAACACCACCACCACAACCAGCACTGTCAAAACCACCACCAAAACCAGCACAGTGTCAACACAACCACAACAACGAGAACTGTGTCAGCCCAAACCAGCACTGACACCACCACAACATCCAATACTGACGTACCCCAACCCAGCCCCTATGTCAACCACCCAAAAAAGCATGTCAACACCAACACAACAACCACACTGTGTCAAACACCACTAACAGCGTGTCAACACCAAATAAAAGCAGTCAACACCACTAACAGCAGTGTCAACACCACTAGCAGTAGTGTCAACACCACTAGCAGTAGTGTCAACACCACTAACAGTAGCGTCAACACCACTAACAGTAGCGTCAACACCACTAACAGTAGCGTCAACACCACTAACTGCAGTGTCAACACCACTAACAGCAGTGCCAACACCACTAACAGTAGTGTCAACACTACTAACAGCAGTGTCAACACCACTAACAGCAGTCTCAACACCACTAACAGCAGTCAACACCACTAACAGTAGTGTCAACACCATTAACAGTAGTGTCAACACCACTAACAGTAGTGTCAACACCACTAACAGCAGTGTCAACACTACTAACAGCAGTGTCAACACTAACAGCAGTGTCAACACTACTAACAGTAGTGTCAACACCGCTAACAGTAGTGTCAACACTACTTACAGCAGTGCCAACAATAACAGCAGTGTCAACACCACTAACAGCAGTGTCAACACCACTAACAGCAGTGTCCAACCACCACTAACAGCAGTGTCAACACCCAACAGCAGTGTCAACACCACTAACAGCAGTGTCAACACCACTAACAGCAGTGTCAACACCACTAACAGCAGTGTCAACACCACTAACAGCAGTGTCAACACCACTAACAGCAGTGTCAACACCACTAACAGCAGGTCAACCCCCACTAACACAGTGTCACATACTAACAGCAGTGTCAACACCACTAACAGCAGTGTCAACACCACTAACAGCAGTGTCAACACCACTAACAGCAGTGTCAACACTACTAACAGCAGTGTCAACACCACTAACAGCAGGTCAACCCATAACAGCAGTGTTTAACACCCCTAACAGCTTTCAACACCACTAACACAGTGGGAACACACTAACAGCAGTGTCAACACCACAACAGCAGTGTCAACACCACTAACAGCCGTGTCAACACCACTAACAGCAGTGTCAACACAGCTAACAGTAGCGTAACACCAGCTAACAGTAGTGTCAACACACTAACAGCAGTGTCAACACCACTAACAGCAGTGTCAACACCACTAACAGCAGTGTCAACACCACTAACAGCAGTGTCAACACCACTAACAGTAGTGTCAACACCACTAACAGTAGTGTCAACACCACTAACAGCAGTGTCAACACTACTAACAGCAGTGTCAACACTAACAGCAGTGTCAAACCACTAACAGTAGTGTCAACACCACTAACAGCGTGTCAACACCATAACAGCATGTCAACACTATAAACAGCAGTGTCAACACCACTAACAGCAGTGTCAACACCACTAACAGCAGTGTCAACACCACTAACAGCAGTGTCAACACCACTAACAGCAGTGTCAACACCACTAACAGCAGTGTCAACACCACTAACAGCAGTTTTCAACACCAATAACAGCAGTGTCCAAACACCACTAACAGCAGTGTCAACACACTAACAGCAGTGTCAACACCACTAAAGCAGTGTCACACCATACAAACAGTGTCAACACCACTAAAAAGCAGTGTCAACACCCCCTAACAGAGGTCAACCATAACAGGGGAGTATAACACTATAACAGCGTGTCAACCACTAACAGCAGTGTCAACACACTAACAGCAGTGTCAACACCACTAACAGCAGTGTCACACACTACAGCAGTGTCAACACCAAAAGCAGTGTCAACACCATAACAGCAGTGTAAAACCCCCTACGGTGCAACACCACAACGCAGTGTCAACCCACTAACACAGTGCAACACCACTAACAGCAGTGTCAACACCACTAACAGTAGTGTCAACACCACTAACAGCAGTATCAACACTACTAACAGCAGTGTCAACACCACTAACAGCAGTGTCAACACCACTAACAGCAGTGTCAACACCACTAACAGCAGTGTCAACACCACTAACAGCAGTATCAACACCACTACATGCATGTTTGGATATTCTTCACTGTAATGCTACAGTGAATGTTGTCACCGTCTCTGACTCTACACACTTGTAGTTTGTCAAATGACCCCATCCCCTACAAACCCCAATTTCGGTAATATTTGCGCAATTAACACGTTGTTTCAAATAGCCACATATTGCATTAGCTTATCATCATCTGTGTGTCTGACAAACTGCCGAAGTACTCAGTCACTCACAAATGGAAGTTCTCCATAAACTACTTATCAACCTTTTCCTGTCGTAGATTGTCTCAACTTAAAGTTCTAACTACCCTTACCCTAACATGGGTTATTTTCTTCTATGTTAATATTTTCCTAATGCTAGTCGAAGATACACCTAATTAATTTTTCTTTATTAAACATACTCAAGTGCCTGTTCCGCTCAGTTAACTGAAATTCTTGTTGTGAATTTCATAATAAATATTTTAACACAATACGGGAGTCATCACTCCTTCCCCGCCTGCCATATGTACTTCTCTTTACTCTTTTTTCCACTTACTTTCACTGGAACAGAATTTGCCACTTTCCTTTGGCAATATACTCATTGTCAATATAAATATGTACTCGATTTACAAGTTCAGCAAACAAGGTGAGGTAGCATAGCCTCACCTCGTTACATTCACTCTCCTCATCCTACAGTATCTAGTGATAGTTTGCAGCTTTGTACCTCCAGGTTTCTTGCTAAACAACCTTCATCCCATCTAATTAGTCTGATATTACTGTTGTTTCAGCTGAACACACTTCAGTTTGGGAAGAACCGCCTCTATGAACCTGACTACAAGTGTGATGTAACAGCAGTGATGTTCCACTGAACTCTTCCCTCCTTCCAAAGTGGTCAGGTCACTTACCTTTAAAACCCTACCTCCCCCACCACCCTCCTAACCTTTCCCATATTTCCATCCACATCTTACCAAACCTCTGGTCATAACATCGTACCTTCCATCTCTCAGCATGTTAGGTCCATCTCACGTATGACTGACTCACCTCTTACTCCCTTGTAACGTAAGACTGACTCACCTCTTATTCCCTTGTTACGTAAGAATGACTCACCTCTTACTCCCTTGTAACGTAAGACTGACTCGCCTCTTCCTCACTTGTAATAACAAGAGTAAACGTATTCATAAAGGGAGAATCACTGAACACAATGTGTCACTCTGGGAAGGAGAAGCAGACTGAGTTGTCATGGTAGACTAACACAGACACCTCACACCATTCAGGAATTATACGTGTTATGACCAAGGTCATTCGTTATGTTGAAAATTTTTACACAGTCGTAAATTTTTAAGGGGGGTGTTTTTACCCCTTTAATGTATTTTATTGTTTGTGTGAAAAAATTACGTGGGGTATTAATGAGGGAAAAAAAAAGTGAATGCGGGTATTTTGTGGTGGGCAGAAAGCGACCAGAGTGACATTCCCTTCCAAAACTGTGAGCCCCCATTAAATCCCCTCACTACTGAAAAACCCACCTCCCCCCCCAAGGCATCCCGCGACAACACTGGCAACCCGGTCAGAAACGACTTCAGTTTGTCGTCCAGCCCCTTGAAGCCCAGCCAGGTGCTTTTGGTTTTTTCCCCCCTTTTAAATGCGGGAAAAGGGGAAAAAGCTTGCTCTTTTTGGGAACTCTCCCTTGAAAAAAAAAAACTGAAAAAAAAGACTGCAAATCACCCAGAAAAAAATTTGAAAGATTCTCCGGGGGGCTGGGCCCAAGAGAAAATTTGGGGGCCAAAGGTGAATTTAAACAGCATTTGGGGTATGTGAATTTTAAAAGACAGGTAAAACAACTGAAGCAAAAACATTTTTTAAAAAAAATTGCTCCGAACAGTGTCCAGAATATCTTGCTGCCCAATTTTTGTAAAGGGTTTTGGGAACCAAAGCAATCATGGGACAAGGGGGAAGGCCCAACTTTGTAGAAAACCCACTCAGTGGCCGGGCTTCAAAAAAACCTTTTTTCGGGCAATAAAGGAATGGTCAGCTTCCCCAAAAATTGTAAAGGCCGTAAAGCTTGAACCATTTCAAGAAGACTGCCAAAAAAAGTGTCTAAATGAATGAGCAACAAAAAAGGGAGGGGAATGATTTTCTATTTTTTATTGGGAAACTACGTGAAAATTTTTAACCTTTTTTCCCAAAGTAATGACCCTCGTTTTTGAAATTTTTGTCGTAATGACCCTGGGGTAGTAGATTTCTTAATGACCCTCGAAATTGTAGATAGTCTTTAATGACCCTCGGGTAGTAGAAAGTCTTAAGGGACCCCAAAGGGTAGATAGTCGAAATTGCCCCTCGGGTATTTGATAGTTTAATGACCCCGAAAAGTAGATAGTTTTAATGCCTTTGGTAGTAGATAGTTTTTTTTAAAATTTAAAAAAAGTTTTTAAAACTTCTTTATGGAAAAAATAAAAAAAATATTTTTAACCCTTTTATATTATAAAAAAAAGGGGTAAAAGGCCCACCAATGGAAAAAAAGTCACTCGTCTATTTTTTTGGGGTTTAATTTTTTGGGTTCCCCTACAAAAATTTGCTGCTAGGGATGAAAATTCAAATGTAAACGTTTTGGGTGTTTTACCAAATAAATTTACTTACTTACTTACAAACTTACTTACTAGGGGGCCCCCGGTGGTCGGGTTTTGGCCCTAAACCCTCCCGCTTAAACACACGGGGGCCCCGGGTTCGATTCCCGGGGGTGGAAATTCCCCCACTTTTTCCTTACACCATTGGTCCTTTCACCTACACAAATAGGTCCCCTGGGGTTAGTCGACTGGTGTGGGCGAACCCGGGGGGACAAGAAAAAGGCCCCAAAAGGAAAATTAATTTTGAACATCCCCCGTTGACCACACTTTTTTTTCTTGGGTTATCCGGGGGTGGTTTAACCCCAGGGGTTAAAATCCGAACAAATCTTTTTCTTATTTATTATAAAACCCCCACACGGAAAAACCAACAAAACAAAATTGGCAACGTTAAAACACATAACAAACTACGAAACATCCAACACTCCCCAACCTTTACCAAAACCGCACAAAACTTCCCCCCCTTATAACCCAAGCTGACAAACAAAATTTTCCCCCCAAATCCACACTAATTTTACCCCCTTTACCCAACCCTCGCATTTTTTCCCAAAATTATCCCCAAGCTCCACAAACTCCACCATTATACCAAGCTCGCCTCCTATCCCTTAACCCAAGCTCACACAACACCACCATTACCCACCAAGTTCCCTACCTTTCCCCAAGTCCCTTTACTACCCCTTATCCCCCAACCCGACCTTTTTCCCATTTAACCAACCCGGGCATTTTCTTCAAATTTTCACCAAGCCCCGATTTCCCACCATTACCCCCCTACCCACCTTACCCCACCTTTTAACTCCACCTTTCAAGCTCAAAAAACCACCATTATCAAGCTCACATTTTCCCCCCCGCTTTATCAATCTAACACAAACTCCACCATTTTTACGCCACATAACACCCCTTTATCCCAAGCTCCACCTCCCCACCTTTTCCCAAGCAACACTCCCAAACCCTTTAAATCCCCAAGCTCACACAAATCCCTTTATCACCAAGTTTCAATTTTAACAAACCCACCATTTTTATAAAACTCACCCCCCCCCCAAACCATTTTCACCAAGCTCACACTAACCCCCACCATTATCACCAAGCCACATTTACCACCAAAAACCCCCAAAGGGCCACACACAAACTCCCCGCCCCTTTAAACCCAACCCTCCACTCCCCCCCCTTTATCCCAATGCTAAACATTTCCCCCCTTTATCAAAAAGCTCACACTAATACCCCCTTTACACCCAATCCACATTTCCCCTTTAAATCACCAAGCTCACATTCCCCCAAATTTTTCACCAAGCCACATTTTCCACCATTTTTCCCACCAAGCTCACACTAAACCACCTTTTATAAACCCCAAGCTCCCCTTCCCCACCCCTTTTATCCCCAAAGCTCACACTAAACCTTTTTCACCCAGCTCAAAATACCCCTTTCCCCAAAGCCACCTACCACCTTTCGCCAAGCTCAAAATACCCCCCTTAAACCAAGCCCCCCAAAACCTCCCACCTTTATCCCCAAGACACTACCCCATTATCACAAGCCCACTAACTCCCATTTTTAAATTTAAAGCCCCACATTTAATTTACCCCCCTTTCCCCCAAAAGGCCTCAAAATAATTTCCACCTTTTTCACCAAGTTACACTAACTACCCCCTTTATCCCAAGTTCACCAAAATCCACCATTATCCCCAAAAGCTCCACAAAACAAACCAAAAATATCCCCAAAGCTCACACTACCACCTTTATCACCAAGCTACTTTTCTTCCCCCAAATTTAACACCAAAGCCCCAAACTCCCACCATCACCCAAAAGCTCACACTCCCCCCCTTTTTCCCCCAAGCTCACACTAAACTCCACAATTTTTAAACCAAGTTAACACAAACTACCCCCTTATCCCCCAACTCACACTAACTACCCCCCCATTTCACCAAGCTCACACTAATACCACCTTTTATCCCAAAAGGTTCAAACAAACTACCCCCCTTATCCCCAAGCTCACCAAACTACCATTTTTAAATAAACCCAAAGCTCACACAAACTAACCCATTATCCCCAAAGCTAACACTACCACCATTATCACCAAAGCTCACACTAACTACCACCATTTTTCACCAAGTTCACACTAATTCCACCATTACACCAAGCCCACACTAACTACCCCCATTACCCACCAAGCTCACATTTAACCACCAAAAACCCCAAGTTTAAAACCCCAAAAACAAACCCACCATTATCACCAAGCTCACCAAAATACCACCTTATCACCAACTCAACACCCCCCGCCCCCCAAAAGCTCCCATTTACCCCCAATTATTATAAAGTCCCCGAAACTACCACCATTATCACCAAGCCAGCAAACTACTACCTTTAACACCATTTTTCCACTAACACCCCAAATTAAAAACCAATCTCCAAAATTTCCCCCTTTATCACCAAGCTAAACACAAACCCCCCATTATATCCCCAAAGCCACACTAATTTCCCCATTATAAACAACCCAAACTAAAAAACCACCATTAAAAACCAAAGCTCAACAAACCACCTTTATCACCAAACCACATTTAATTCCACCTTACACCAAGCCCCACATAACAAACCCACCTTTCACCAAAGCTCACCCAACCCCTTTACCCTAACCAAGCTCACATTTAATTTCCACCTTTTTCCCAACTCACACAAACCCCCCATTATCACCAAGCCACCTAACAACCCCCCTTTTTATCCCAAAGCTCACACTACCCCCCTTATCACCAAGCTCACACAAAAATACCACCATTATCCCCAAGCTCCCCAAAACCACCAAACAAACTCCGGTTTTGGGGCCCCAAACAAAACCACCCAAAAAAAACGAAAACCCCCCCCCTTTTTGTATTGCAAATTCCCGGCCCTTTTAAACCCATCCCCCAACAAAAAAAATCCCCTTCCTTTCATTGGTTTTTAAAAAGGGGATTTAAATGCGTTGTTTTGCAGCCTTCACAGACCCACAAAAAAGGACCATTTTTTGGCAGAGAAATGCGAAAATGGGACAAAAAGGAACAACTTTTTAGAGGACAAAAAGAAAAAGGCAACAAGGGAGGGGGAAATAAAGCCCAAAAAAGGTCGTTAAATTTGCACAGTAAACGAACACCAAGTTGATTTGTTAGCCAAGAAGAGAAACCCAAAAGGGAAAATATGGGAATAAAATTTTGGAAAAAAAATGGTCTACATTGGGAAATAAAAATTGGGAGAGAAGTAAAAAATAAAAAATGTTTTTATGGGAAAAGCATTAAGTAGATTTGATTTTAAAACCCCCTATTGAAAACCATGAACGTAGTTAAGTATGTTTTAGGAGCAACTTGCAAGGTAAACACTGACCAAGTTGCATTGGCCGGGCTTAGGTTTGGGTTTTAAAAAAGTACTATTGAGTTCAAAGTGGCCAGGTTTAGGCTTGGTTCCCAAGATTACAGATTTTGTAGGCCG